ATCTCAAACTGTGTCCGAGTAGGTTAGGCGTTAGGTAGGAAACACGTAGGTCCCGGGTTCAAATCCGTCGTACGCCGTCTGGGCATTGATACTGTTAATGGCATATGGTTTACACGGCCGCCTGAATCCCGACTTTTTTTGCATTTTTTTTTCACGTTATTTTTCATATAAATTAAATAATAATATAATAATACAGGAACATATCGTACATTATTATTATTTAAAGTCATTATCATTTTATATCACACAATAAATAGGTACATATTATATTTGTTTTATTAGGAATTATTAAAATTGCATATTTTTTAAAATGTCCATGATTGTTATATAAATATAGTTTGTATTTTATTTCGGTTTGCCTACCTAGGTGGCTAACTTGAAAGTTAATCTTGATTTTGACTTGAGAGTTGAGATGACTGACTTGCTAGACACTCCAACACGGTTTTTGACTTTACACTTTTTACATAAGAAAAGGCACCGGACATGCGAAGGCACATACCACTCTATGTGATATACCTACTATATATAGGTGATAGACGGGTTGCTCATTTTAGTTTCGTCTTAAACGGTGATGATTGACTTGATAGACACTTTAACAAAATATAACATGCAGGTTTTTGCAATTTTTTTTAAATTAATATATATACACTATAGCCTATAGGTACATGTTTATATGTATTGGTTAATATAATAGTATGTATCTAACTATCTACCAATATGTTAATATTTTTTAGGAATTATAATTGCACATTTCTCAAAATGTTCATTGTTATATTATATCACACAATAAATACATATCATATTTGTTTGTATGTATATAGTTTGAATTTTTCGTAAATTATTTCGTAAGTTGTGTGATAGGGTTTTCACTTATAGCCGCTTCACGCTTGATGTCGGGTCTACAATCCACCGCAGGTGGATTGCCTACCTGATTTGCTGTAGCACATAGTCCGCGATCCGACGAAGTCGGATTGCCTACCTAAGTGGCTAACTTGAAAGTTAATAGATTTTGACTTGAGATGACTGACTTGCTAGAAACTCCAACACGGTTTTCGACTTTACACTTTTTACATAAGATAAAGCACCAGTCATGCTACGGCACATACCACTCTATGTGCAGGTATACTCTATATAGGTGATCCTGGAGATCGTATCCAGCCTATCCATTTACAACGTTTGTGGCGGATTGCTAGACACTCAAACTTTTAACATTCCCGCCAAAGCGTCTAGCCTTATCTCCAATCCATATCACTAATCCTTATCACAAATCCTAAATTTTCGTCTTACAACCTTTGCGACTTTTATAATTCATTGTCTCCAAAATCGGTACCCACTCTCAGCGATTCCAACGGGCCCCGAGTTATACTTAGAGCTAGTAATTGAATAAAACTATTTTTTTCATTAATTATTACGTTCAAATTTTCATTTTTCGTTAATCCGTTGATGAGATATTGCTCCTCAAAGTTAGGTGGTTTTTGGAGATAGTTATTGTGTGTAAATGTGTTATACCTCGTCAGTAGATACCTAACCTATCAGGATTTTTATGTCCCAGGGCAAAATATATCACACTTTTCAAATCAGTTCATAAAGTACTTAGAGCCCCTAAATGTATTTTATTATGCCCATCTTTCAGGGAGTCATGAAGTTCACCCCACGAATGTGAATGGTGATTGCGGCACTGGTCAGTGGTCGTAATAATTATTATCAATTATAAAGACCAGAAGTTACAAGTAATAAATTCGATATCGTTCGACCCAAGATATAGCGGTGATAATCTTTGTACCTTACAGCCGATAATACCTACATACAATAACAAACGATCATATTATTATTGCACTGCTTCTGTTTGTACTTTGTAGCTTCGATCACAATTTAATCTCTATTCTATGCTACGACACACCATAGACTAACATACGGAAATACAGAATTATTTTAGTCCATAAAAGTTAATGTTGTCCATGGTTTATCATTGTAACTGTCTATCATACAGAAAATACAGTGTTACCAACATGTGTATTTACAAAATAAATAGTAACAGTAACTTGCTGTTTATTTATGTCACAAATAAAATCCCGTTTTTGTTACTCTAGTAGACTGCCTGTACTACAGTTGCAACAACTGTTAACTGTTTTAAATCGCTGCTGTAGTAGTGTACACTGTACAGTAATTTATTGTCTGTAGTTGTCTGTTACTCGTTACTGACTATTATAATTTATAGCATGGTGCATACTGCATAAATATACAATATATGATATAATAACCATATTTAATAATGGACCATAATGGCATAATATTAACAATAAATTAACTTAATAGGTAACTTAATTTTTTTTTTTTTATACATATAATATACATATAACTGTGTATAGCTTTGGTAGATTTAACTAATACAAAATAATGTGTTAATTATTATTATAGATTTAATATATCTATTTTATGCTGTTTACCTTTTGGATACTTTGAACATGTAAATGCCTATTAGGATTTAAGTTTTTTAGTGATAATTTTTTTTTTTTTTTTTTTAACTAATCAAATATCCTCTTCTCATATAAAATATCATTTGAGCATGTTTATTACAAATCTGGAAATACAATACTCTGAACTAATTTAATATTAAGTATAAACAACTCTTTTTTTGATATTTGCAATTTCAATTTAATACATTTACAATTTCAAATCAAATATTAGTATAATATAAATAATTCACCATACATAGCTTCAATAGTTGTAATATACTTTGTAGGACTAGGTCTTTTTGACCAATCACATGAATTTAATCAATATGTAGGTATTTAAATAACAATGACATACATCCAAATATACATATAGGGCACTGATCAACTCATATAATTGTATTTTATGTAAAAAAAAAAAAATATTTTCAATGTCGTGAATAGGGTTTGAGACCATTGGCGCAACTAGAGGGTGCAAACGGGTCTTTAGCACCTCTTGTTTTTTTAGATTTAACTATCATTATTATAGTGAAATACCCCTAATTTAATGTTTTTAAAATATGAAATATTATAGCACCCCACGTTTTAAATTTTTTAATGTATATTTTTTACTTTAATATGATGCAAGTGATAACCACTAACAAAAACTAGGGAGAGAATAACCATTTTTTAGATTGCTTAATTTTGATTATTTAAATGTTTTTTTAAGCGTTTGATTTGATGATTTTAGGTTCTGTTTAGCCCTGAACCCTGTTCACGGCAAAATTCCTCACATATTATACTGATATTATTATGAACCATTAAACAATTTTACCTTAATAAGCCTAGGACTATGAAAAACCTATTTCAAAATGATGATACAGTTTAATCTAAATGTTCGTTTTGCAGTTAATATGCAAAATATGAGTAAAGATAAAACGTGTATTCAAAAAATTAAAACAAACTTTTCAATCACCCCAGACTTAAAAAGCAAAATTTAAAAATGGTGTTAATAATATTCTAACTTGAATTTAGTACTAATTATTATTTGGTGACAACACCAATCATTGACAGAAATAATTTAGTATTTATCATTATGACATTATACAATGTAGCACAGTAGACTAATGTTTTTGGATGTTTAGATTATTATATCTCTTTTGTTAAAGGGCTTGTCCGTAAAAAAAAAAAAAATGTTAAAATAAAAAATAAAAATAAAATTATTATTAATCACATAGCCAGCTAAAAATTCTTAATTTGATTTAGGACATAATCTACATATTAAACACAAAATAAATATCTATATCTATGTATATTATCTTTAAAGTTGTAATGATTGATGTTGTCACCTAATTTAAATTATTTTTAAACTAGCATACAAATTATAAAGCTTTAACATTAGCACAATTTTTAGTTTTCAATACATTATTATTTTTTTTTTTTTTTTCATTCCGAAAATCGGTTAAATGATTACTGATGTCCCTCTCCACTTATATTCCTCTTCAACTTCCAGTATGTTCCTATTCTGGTATCTTCAATCACTTGCTTCAGAAATGGAATTCTAGGCCTTCCTTTTCCAGGTTTCCTCCTGATTACATGTCCGATCCATGCTTTTCTTCTCAATCTTAGCGTACTCTGTATTGATTTTTGATTCTCCTGAATACCTCAACATTTTTTTTATTTTTTCTGTCTATTGAATTTTCAGCGTTTTCCAACATCATACTTTAAAAGCTTTTATTTTGGCTTTCTCAGTCTTCAGTAGTGTCCCAATCTCTGCTCCGTATAGATCTACATTCCACACAAAGCCTTTTATAAGTGATTTTCTGCTGTCCCAACTTATTCTATTTGAGGTAAAAAGATTAATTTTTTTATAGTAGGCCTGTTTGGCATGCGCTATTCTACATACTGTATATGTACGACTTTTCTCATCGCTTGTGATTGAATAGGTATGTGAAGTTTAAGTGTTCTTTAAGCGTGTCGTTCATTTCTTCAAACATGTTAGTTAGGTATGTCTTTTTCACTTTCTGCAATTACAACAACATCATCTTTTCAATACATATCATTGGTAATGTGTAGTTATAGTCCAACTAGATTTTTTCTACTTCTTCCCAATAATCCTGATTATTTAAAATATTTGTATGTCAATATAATAATTTAATAATATTACAGTTAAAGATATTAATACTCAATTAATTTATTTTATAGTCTGTTGAAATATTTAATATTGAATATGTATAATATTTATTTTCCTGATTTACATATTTCTTTGTGAAATACTTTTTCAAATAATGAGTGTTGTTTGATAAAAGAATCACCCTGTATACTCTGGCATTGTTGGTGCAACTTTAGAAGAAGGAACCACTTTACTTTTCATTTTGCCTGGAATGAAAAAGTATATAACTATAAAATATAATAAACTTTATTTCAAATAAATAATAATTACATACAGCCACTGTCTTATTATACAATTAATTTAGTTTACTTAGGACAGGTTCAACTTTTTTGTTGGATGGCACACTTTCTAGTTCACCAAGTTTTGGAAACGAATGCCACCAATTATATGTCATAATGGGTATAACGTTTAATACTGTAAGTTTTGTATGTAATTTGTAAATAAATAATATTAAATTAGAAAATAACTATTTTACTAATTAGATTATTTTAAGTTACTTTTTTTTTAAATCAATTTATAAAAATATTTTTTCCAGGGATTTCCTATAGGTTTTGCATTGATGTCGAGGAAAACAGAAAGGGCATACACGGCGCTTTTCAATAAGATTTTAACCATAGTACCAGAGTGGCAACCTCAAACCATAATAGTTGATTTTGAAAGGGCAGCTATTGCTGCTATAAGAACAATGTTTCCAAATACCACTATTAGAGGCTGTTGGTTTCATTCCTCCCAAGCGGTATGGAGAAAAGTTGCAAACATAGGTAAGATTACTCTAAAATCTGAATTTGTAATAAAAAATAAATTAAATGTATAGTCAATTAATGAACTGGTTAATATTTAGGATTGATTGAAATATGTAGTAACCATCGAGGAGCCTATGACACTGTGCATATGTTGATGGCATTGCCTTTGCTGCCAACAAATTGTATAGCTGAAGGTTTTGAAATTGTAAGGGCATACTATATTGAGAATGTGCAATCATTGATTAGCAATAATAATGATTACAATTTTACATTATTATTTGAATATTATAGATCAACATGGCTTGCAGGTCTGTATTCTGTAAAATACAAAATAATAGTTTTAATATAATATTTTTTGTTCATACAGCTAAACAAATTTATAACTAACCGTACATCATTTGCAATAGGAATAAATGCAGATATATTGTCGGTGAGTGACACCGTATGGCGAACCAACAATGTGTTGGAAGTAAGTCACAGACATCTCCAGATGCACATGCAAAATCGGCACAATCCTGAGCCATGGGTGTATTTGAGTAATTATATTTTTATTTATTTAACACTAGAAAAGGAGTATATCAGTATTTTATATTTACAGAGGGGCTCGAATGGTGTTTTGAACGATTATAATGAGGCTACTGATGGTGGACAAGTAAGAGAACCTCAACGGCAAGTTTGGATAGATCAACAAAGGAATTTAGATAGATCATTGAAGCTGTTTATAGAAGGACGCTACTCAATGTCAGAATTTTTAATATGTGATAGGCATTCTACACCAACTTTTGGTGTAATACGGCCTCAACACCAAGCTATTATAATACTTCCTGCTGCTGTCTTTCCACAAGCTCCACTAGATTTATTACCACTCCCCGTTGATCAGAATCGGGAACTGCAAATTCCAGCTATTCCTATGCTCCCTGCTACTGCTTTACCACAGGCACTACTACAAGAAGCACCAGGTGTATTACCACTGCACGTTGATCAGAATCAGGAACTGATTCGCGATGAAATAATGAGAAGGATTTTACCACATAGACCAGCAGTGCCCGTTCCTCGAGATCGTATGATTTTTCATTATAAATTATAATATTACTTATACAGATTTCTAATAAAATATCCTAATATATAAATCGCTTGTCTTTAGTTTTTTATAATCTCGATGCTGATGCAGTTTATTCAGATGAAGATGTGTCTAACGAACAGTCTGTGATACCATCAGTTATTTACATTGAACGTGTAGATTTGACAAGTAAGTAGTAATTATCTGAAATTTGTTTCTAGCTAAAGTAATTGATTCAAAATAATGATGTTTTATTATTTTAAAGTTGTACCAATAGTAGAGGAAACATGTTACATATGTTTGTACAGTCCACCAACCGTAGTAGCGTATCCATGCTTACACCAAGGCCTATGTGGAGCTTGTCATGATAGCTATTCAAGAATGCCTCCGAATGAGCACAGGCCATATTACCGCTGTCCACTTTGTAGAGCTGGAATAGAAATCTACCATAGTACTATGTATTAACATGACAAATATAATTAATTATTTATCTTGGCAATTAAATATCAACTAGCCATAAACCTACTTTCACTCTTTTATTCTTTAACAAATTAAACAAAATTAAACTAATTTTCTTAGTATTTTCTTGGTACATTTCAATCTAACTTGGGTTTTGACTGTTTTGAGTAAGTTTAACTTTCTTGATAATATATCATATAACATATTCATATAAGTAACATATTATAGGTATACTGCAGTAGCTACATTGAAATTAAAATTGTTACCAATTATGTGTTCATTATCAATTGTGAATATAATCAGATGTGATTACATATAGTTTACAAATACTCAGTCTATATAATATCTATGGCTATATAATATCTACTATACTGTATTACTGTTACTACTTACTACAAGTTACAACAGTCTATACTAGTCAACCTAATAATAGAAGTTTTTAGTTAAATTATAGTAATTATTAGGTATTAAAATTAAAATGTGAAACTTACTTTTGAAATGACTGAAATAAACGATTACAGTCTACAAGTCGACATTACAATATAATAGGTATTATTTAACAGTAAGATTGTTTTATAATTTACAATAGGCTTACTTACCTACTTACATGTCGCATTGTCACCGTTTTATTTCCTATGGGCAGATGAGTATTGGACGTACTGGACGTTGAAGGCTTGGAATAAGTTCACGTTCACACTCATTTTGTTAAAAATGATCTACTTGAATTCAGCTAGTTCCCGTTAAAGAAAAGAACTAGTTCTTTTCCTCATTCCCAAATAAAGAAAAACTTACTTCGTCATGATATCATATCATCTCATACAATGAGAATTGAGAAAACCACCTTAGATTATATTATACTATTATAGTATTATACAGCCTATAAACTAAATAAATTGAAATAAATTAGTAATAGGTTGTGTATAAGAGATGACGGTTGTTATTTTGAAGTAAGCTTATAAATTGTTACCTCCAACGTATATCATTGGTTTCCGATAAAAACAGTTCGAAATAAACGAATGGATCTTCGCAGGAAAGAATTTCTCGGTTTGGTTCAAGACTTCAAGTCCGCGCAATACGTCACTTGCTTAGTTGCTAAAAGTAACAATAGTTTAGGTATCAAAGCGCAAATACTTTTGCACTTCTTATAGCCAATAAATTGAGAACAGGCTACAGAGAGATACACAAAATAATCATTGTAAAACTACTTTTTTTATTTTTTTATTTTTAGAAGAAAATATACAATTATTATCTTAGACATAATCACGATTTAAGATATATCTTAAATCGTGGACATAATAAGTTTATGTGCGATAAGGGTAACAAACAAATAGGGTGATATACATAAATTTGAGGAAAGAAGCCACCCACTGAAGACACTTTCGTCTTGGTTTAATCATTTGCGATTTAGTTATATGTTAGTATTTGTATTATATAATAATATATATTATATATTTAGTTATATCTTATATATTATTATTTAAAATAATATAAATCTCTGCACCATTTACGTTTAAGTCAACAATCGTTTACAATCTAAATGTATTGTATGGTGTGATATGTATGGAGGTGCGTTAAATAATTTCCTTAAGGTCATATTTTGGAAAGCTTGAATCTTATTCAGGTTTGACTTTTTAGCATTTCCCCATACGGCCATACCTGCAATCCGTATGTCCAAATGGGTTTTAATAAGGTTTTATACAAGAGAAGTTTGATATTAATAGGGGTGGCTTTGTTACCAATTAAATTCTTAAGCATACGTATCCGGTTGTTTAGGGATAGTCTTTTTTCACGTATTGTAAAAATACTATAACCAGATAATGTATTTCAAAATATGGGCTTCAGTCTTCAGTTCTGGTTACTGAACCTGGTTCCGGTTCCCGATATTTATAGGATTTTTGGGCTCTAGGATAATTGGTCCATTAAATTAATTATTTTTTTAAGTTAGAACAAAACTTTTTTAGTAGAACACAACAATAATATTATATCCGGCACGCTTTGGTATTATCGTATTTTCGATGCGATGTCAGTAAATTCATCTGTTGGTAAATTCCAACTATTAAAATTGAAAGTGTGGCGCCAATTACATAAGTCCATTTCGTTTTCCGTCGTGGCGCAAATTACCAAAATTAATTTTAGAGGTGGTGCAAAGTACATGTTAAATTTTTATATTTTGACGCAAATTATAAGTAATTAAATAAAATAAATAAAATACCATTTCCCGGTCAAGGTTGTTTTTTTTTTTTTTTTTATTTCACATGATATTTACAATCTATTCATACATAGAATAATAATTAATAAGCAAATTAGATAAGAGTATTAAAAACATGAGTAATATGACGGAAGAAGCCACCCAATGATGACACTACCTATTTTGTTTAGAGTTTAGTAGGGGGAAATGGGGAATTTGATCTAAGACTCAAGCATCTAGCAGGTCACGACACCAATTACGTTTGAGACGTCTGACGGGGTTACACGGAATCGAAGGGACTGCTAGATATTTTATTAGAGGGTTAGGATGATTCAGTAACCTACTGTGAAACTGCTTATAGTAGAGTTTTGCTTCATCTTTGACGGAGTTCAGCCTGAGATCTTGCTGAATGGAAAGGTTGGAGACATAAGGGGGAGCATTCAGTAGTTCCCTTAGCGCTATGTTTTGGAAGGTTTGTATTTTGTTAATGTTTGATATTTTTGCATTACCCCAGAGTTGTATGCCATATGTCCAGATGGGCTTAATTAGAGATTTGTAAATTAGGAGTTTAGTTTTATGTGTATTTGTTGTAATTGCAAAAAGTTTTTAGCAGGCTCAGCTGTAGGTTTAAATTTTGTCTTTTAGTTCTAAGGTGGGGAGACGGTTGTTATTATTTTAAAATTACAAAATAAATAAATGATTTTAAAAATGTGTTTTGTTATACATTGTTTTCTTTTGATATTTTAGCTAATATAAATCACCAAAATTTGATTAATGTACCTGCTAGCGAAGCGAGCTTTTCTTTTTCATTTGAGGCCCCTTTTAATAATTTCCCGGTATAATCAGCCCATGATTCATGAGTTATGACTTATGAGTATTATATTAATGTAATGTAATACCTAATATGATTTATGATACATATTCAAATTAAATTAATCATTTGCTTGAGAAAAAGACAATACGTTTAGTATAAAATAAGTTTAATATAATTTATAATGTTATTTTAAATTACCGCCACGGGGGGTATCTAGTAGATCAAGGGAGATCTAAACGCTAAATGGGTAATTTAGATCCCCAACTAGTTCCCTATGGTTATTTAGTTCCCCTGTCAATTAGATCCCGTTGTGTCATTTAGATCACGGGGATCTATTTGGACGGGGATCTAGGTGGCCGTTCACCGTGCAACACACTACCTTTATTATATATTTATATATATATATATATACATGTAAATGCTAAACACATTATATAGGTACCTAATCCACCTGGATATGACGGTGACATATTATAGATCAAAGAATCTGCATGGAAATGCATAGTAAGCATTGTCTTATCTAAGCAAGATGTTTTCTCACACTTACATATATAATATTTTTTCGTTGTTGTCAAGCATTTCCATGCTTAAATTCCTTCCATTAAAATAATGACAAATTATTTTATTAAATCAGTATGATACGTAATTTATACTAAAAACGTTCAGTGTTATTTCAATATCAAAATGTTCAATTTCGAAGCGGTATTTTTGTATTTTTTTATAAACACACTAGGATTTGGTCGACGTCGTCCTCGAAATGAATTCGACATTCTACTGTTATTCCCACCGTAAGTTTAATATTATTATTATTTTTATTATATTAATTAATTATACTAATTTATCATAGTGTTGACGAGCAAACAACTGATGACGAGCAAACAACTGATGACGAACAATCAACAGATGATGAACTATTTACACCGTAAATTTAATATTCTTATTAATATTATTGTTTTCTAATATTTAAAAATATTTATAGTAGTGACGATGAAGAAATGTCCGAAGTGTATTCACCTGATATATCATCTGATGAAGATTTGTAATAATTGTCAAAAGTTTTTTTTTTTTTTTTTACGAATTTTTATTTTACAAATATATAATACGTGTTATGTACAAACTTCTAACATCATTTTTTCATCATCGGCGTAATCTTCATCCCAGACAAATTTTTCCAGTGCTTCAAGACATAGTTTGTCAGCTTCTTCACCTCCCCAAAAGTCCACATCATTTGGTTTTCCTTTGATGGTTATATCCTCAGAAGGAAGGTAATCACGACATTTTTATTTCATTTAGTAAGACAAAATTGTTAATTAATTCACAGTTAATTTTATTCAATTCTAAATAAAACAGTATTTAATTATTTTATAAGAATCCTAAAATATTATTATGATTAAATTCACAAAATGTTGGTTAAGTAGAACCTAAATCCATGAATACTTATGTTATTAAATATATGCCCATACAATGCCTATACTTATAATATAACAAATTATTTGCAGGTATAACCACAGTAAATTTATTGTGGTTGTCAATTAAAACTATTGAATTTGCTTCACCCGACAACCAAGGATACAAAAAAAAAAAGATTTGTTTATCAGAGTACTGAGTATAGGTATTCATTAATCATTTTAACTAATCAATAATAAATTATTAGGTAGGTACCTACCATTGTATCAAAAATTAAAACTAATCACATTGAACATCTAAATAATATTATATTTGAAGTTAAAAATTTAATTTAAAAATCAAGTTACATTTAAGGTACCTACACTATATACAATTTAAATTAATGTATATTGTATAGGTATTATATTAGATGTATACCTTAAATAATTGTTAGGTAAACAGAATAAATAGGTACTTATTGTAATATTGAACATAATATTTTGGAAACCAAACTTTGAAGGTTTTGGTATTATATTTATTTAATTTTAACCATAGGTACCTATAGTATAATGATCTAATACTATCTTAGCTCTTAGATCAAGATTATTAGGTATCTAT